GACGCAAACTGCATTTAAACGCAAATTGTGTTTAGACGTAAACTGCACTTAGTCATAAGTTATCTTTGAGTCGGCTTTTGCTTCAAAACTGATTTTTATCGAACGAACGCAGCTTTTGTTTTTAATCGCTAAAAGATTTCCGCTGCACTAATTCACCCCCCCCCCCTCTTAGTGCTCTCGATCCTAACAATCACCTTCCAAAGAATAGGAAGGATTTGGAACTCTGGACAAATGAATACCACTTGAGCGATGACTCAAGTGATGAGGACAATAATGAACTTGAACTTCGAACACTAACTCTTAATAAGTTCATTAAACAAAAATCTAAAATAACTGCTTTGTTGCTTTAGATTAATATTACCGAGGTGCAATGAGGTAGAGGAAATAACAGGTCACGGGGCTATGGCGGGAGTTGACTGCTTTGTTTCTTTAGATTAATGTTGCCGAGGTGCGCCGAGGTAGAGGAAATGACAGGCGGTTGCCAGCTCAGGTAGGAGAACACAGCGAAACAGGGTAAGCAGCGTCGACATCGAGCATCTCTACTAACGAGGTTGTGTGAGGAGTCAAACAACGAGAAGAGGGCTTGCTCTAGGCAAGTGGCTCTGATACCATCTCAAGAATTAAACGAAGAAGATAGAAAAATAAAAATTGTAGAAGAAACTATGAAATGTATGAAATATAATTGCATAATTCATTTATATAGTGAGCTCTTGATAGCTATTTATACATATTCAGGGTGAAATTTCCTCAACTGCTCAGAGATTTCCTTAATTGCTTAAAGATTTTCTCAATTGGCTTAAGGAAATCTTATCTGCTATCAAAAACGACACAGATGCTTAACCAATTAAGTGGCCTTTTTTTCAACATTATTCAAGTCTCCATCAATCTCATTATAATGCTAAATGCGAGAACATTCTTCATTATTTCGAACCATGATGAAAGCGCTTAAAAGACAAGACGGGGTTGGGACTCCTGCAAGAACAGAATCGAAGTCAATTCATCAAGCAGGTGGCGCAGAAAACATGTCGACGACCTTCTTCCACGACGGCCGCGTCGAGATCTCCTCCCACCACCTGGCTACGTTCTTCCTCGACGCAAACATATCGTCCTTCCCGGCGGCACAGATGTAGTGGGCGTTAGGGAGGTGCGCGAGATCGGCGAGCGCGAACTCGTCCCCGGCCAGGAACCTGCTCTCCCCTAGCCGCCGCTCGTAGACGTCCAGCACTTTGGCCAGCTTCGCTTGGTTCAGCTCAATCGCGGCTGGGTCCTGCGGGAGCCCCATCCGGGGGGCGAATGCCAGCTGGAACACCAGCGCCGAACTGGGTGGGTTGAAGCTCTGGCTCTCAGCCTCCAGCCACTGCTCGACCTGCGCCCGCTCAGCCGGCCCGCCGCCGTTGCGCCCGAAGAGGCTCTGGTTGCCCCTGTTGGCGTACTTGTCGCAGATGTAGCGGCAGATCGCCCTCGACTCTTCATGCACAGATCAAAACCCCTTGGCAAAGAACATGAACAAGAGCACATGAACAGTAACTCAAAAGCGGAGGAAACCGGTACCAACCAAACAGAGTGGCGTGCTCGTCCTGGAATGCCGGGACTTGGCCGAACGGCTGTCAGGATGAGACTCATCAGAACAAGAAGAATAAGAAGAGAAGGAGTAAGAGTTCGATGGTGGAGAAGAGGAGAGGGCACGGACAGGACCTGGAGCTTGAGGTAATCGGGAGACTTGTGCTGGCCTTTGGCCATGTCCACATTGACGAGCTTGAAGTCGACGTCCTTCTCTAGGAGGCAGGCCAGGACTCTAGAGACGGCCGTAGATATGGGAGGGCCGTACACCGTCACGCTTCCCATGCCTTCGTTGCTCCGTCTCCCTCTTCCTGTAAGTATCTGGCTTTTTGTCGGCAGAATGAAACGGAGGAGTCAAACAGAGGCGTTACAGATCGCAGATGGCTCGACAGCCACTCGGTGTTTATCGTGATTTAATGACTGTCGTTTCATCCCCAGTTTAATCTTTTTAACGAAAGATGTACAGAAAATGAAAGTTGCTGACAGTATTATTTCTCTTAATTATTTTATTAATAATATTATGGTTACTTGTGCCAATTAATTTAATTGATAAAAAAAATCGAAACTTATTATTCGAAGTTCATTTTTATTATTGAGAATCTCTTCCTATTCACAATCACTTAAAAAATAATAAATAATTATTATATTATTTATAATTTTAATAACATTATAATCTCTTATTTTAATTATTATATTAGTTATCGATACTGCTCCCTATTGACCTACTCATTGCGGACGTCACTCGTCATCCCCTTTGACGTCTCTTTGCTTGTTAGCAACATTGTCGATGCTTGCACGATTATCCTTTGATGCTCGTCACAGGTGTAGTTAAAGGTGACATTGCTGATTGTTAACATTACTCATTATCATTGTCAATGTCGCTCGATATCGTCTGACTTCATTTGTCACCTCTTCGACAACATACTCTAAGAACGAATAAGGAGAGGAAAAAGAAAAAGAGAAGGTAAAAAAAATATTAAGAAAAAGAGAAGGAAGAAAAGAAGAATTAATTTAAGTGCATTTACAAAAAAATAATTTAAAATATTCAAAATTTTTAAAATAGGAGTGCAAATAGTAAAAAGGGATTACAAATAGTAATATCCTAAAAATCTTGATTATTGATACAAAATCTTAAGTGATTTCCCTAAAAAATACCTCCTTTTTGAGTTTTTTTTTCTTCCAACAATACCCCCTGATTCAAAAAATCCAAAAAAACCCCTTGTTAACTCATTCCGCCAAATTTTTTCATAGTTTTGAACTGTCACAGTATTTTCATTTAAATAGCATCTTCAGGGTTTTTTATTAAGGTACTGAAAGTATTGTATGTGATATTATATTATACCTCTTTGATTGTCATTATTAGTAGATCATTACTATATTATATATTCTTTAACTTGTAATTAGTTTAATGTTGTTTCCAACTATTATAAATACCTAATATGATATATCAAATTATCTATAGTGTTTTAATTTTATATAACTCATTTATTATATTTTTTAAGTATATTTTATAGTAATTTTATTTTGATGCCTAAAACACTAAACACTATATCATTCGAGAACAATACAATTAGCTTTTTGAGAGATAGTCTTAGCATTTTTTTTAATTAGAGATACTTATTTGAAAAAAAACCAAAAGGGGATGCCGTTTGGAAATCAAAAAAAATTTGATTGTCGATGGCATTTGAAGGAATATATCGTTAGCCGTTAAGATATTATCGAATTTAATAACTTAGAAATTGGATCCAACATTGGAGTATTAGTTTTATTGCCAAGAAAAAAACAATGCCTCATGGTTGTAGGTTTATGCACTTGAAGATATCATCACTTTTTTTCTTATTATTTATTTGATAATTTTCTCACTTTATATTACCTATTGTATATATTATGATGTTCATTAATCTATGCAATAGGAATCAAATTGTGATAAGATCACGATTTGCCTTTAAATACAAACCATAAATAATTCCGGTCATAGGTTACTCGAGAGGGATATCAAGATAACCGGACAGACTGGTATACTGTATACTCGTCTATATGATGGAGAAGATTGGTCCCATATTTATTCATGTGGGAATACCAAGGATACAGTGCAGGTGCTCATTGGAGAATGAGTTCACTAATTGATTCACTCACGGAATGGTGAATGGTTGATGATACCTCTTTGTCAGACAATGATTGCATCATCCCAATTGTGTATCTAGTCCCTAAACATGAGACACCAAGAATGTCCTGAGTACGTCATTCTTTAATACTAGACTTATAGGTTTGGAAGTTTCAAATCTAACATAGCCAATCATCGGGAGAGGCAGATAACCTTACGAGGGCAATTGAGTGTTGATAGAGGATCATCCGCTCTCGACGTATATATAGCAATTTGGGACGTATATATAGCAAGAAGGGTCGGCCCCTTCTTGAGTGTGTGGTGTGCACAGTGAGGAGATTTGAGCAATAATTTGAGGAGCGTCATCATAGCCCCTACCATGTGGATCACCACTAATGAGGACGACATTTGAACTTCTTCATTCAATCCCACATATCTGTAGGAATTTAGGGAGATATGATCTCCCTAGGTAATTCACTTACGCGTAATTTTTTAGTTTTGCAGGTTTTTGCACTCCAACTTTTACATTAAGTTAAGAAACACATTTGCTATGGGAAATATGTGTTTTCCCATAAAAAAGCATCAAGTAATTTCAAAATAAAATAAAGGAGTTTTGCTTGAGTTGTTTACCTTATTATAGAAAGTCACAAAAGCGAAATTCGCCACTTCGTCTTCATCGATTTACTCCTCATCTTCGGATGCACTCGTTTTGTCCTAAAGTGCTTCATTCTTCTTGTATTCATAGTAAGTAGTTACATTCTTCTTAAGTTTATTTTTATTCTTTAATTCTTGTTTCATAAACTTTTAAAATTTTATAGTGAGAAGTTCAAGTTTACCATCACTTGAGCTTTCGCTCGAGTGGTCTTCATTTGTTCTAAGTTTCAAATCCTTCCTATTCTTTATAAGGTTGTTTTCAAGCTCTTCATGAGTATTGCAAGTCATCTCATAGGTTATTATGACCCGATAATTTCTTCGAGAGGAAAATGGTTCAAGTTCTTTGATTCTTGTATTGCCCTTATTTTTTAATCCTAATTTTTAGAAGTGATCGTAAAACTTTATTAACAAGTTCAAAATTTGAAAAACTTTTACCAAGTGCTTTTAGACTATTGACGACATCTGTAAAACGGGTGTACATGTCTCTAATAGTCTCGCTTGGTTTCACTCAAAATAATTCAAAATCATGTATTAAAAGATTAATCTTTGAATCTTTTACTCTATTAGTGCTTTCTTGTGTAGTTTCAAAAGTGTGCCAAATATCGAAAGTCGTTTCGCAAGTAGAAATACGATTAAACTCATTTTTACTCAAAGCACAAAATAGAGCATTCATAGCTCGAGCATGCAAAGAAAAAGTCTTCTTCTTCAAATCATTTCAATCTTTCACTGGAAGAGAAGACCTTTAAAATCTATTTTCAATAATATTCTACAAATTTAAATCCAATGAAACTAAGAAAACTCTCAAACGAGTTTTTCAATAAGTGTAGTTCATTCCATTGAACATGGAAGGACGAATGAGAGAGTGACCCTATTAAAAACTGAAAAGAGTCATTTCTCTTAGGTGTTAAACCAAATGAGAAATAACGATGTTCTAATACCAACTGTTAGGAACGAGTCAGCACTAAGAGGAGGGGGGTGAATTAGTGCAGTGGATAGAAACCGTCGGTTTGAAAAACTTTCGTTCGATGAAAACTGAATTCAAAAATATGAGTTTAACTTAAAAGTGTATGGGAGCATAAGTGTAGTGAAAGTAAAGTAAGAATAAAGTTGCTATGAAAGTAAATTGCTCAAAATAAATGCAAACAAGATTTTTATAGTGGTTCGGTCATCGTAACCTACATCCACTCTCGATTCCTCCTCCATCGAGGCCACCGGCATCCATTATCGATCTTCCTTCAATGGGCAAAGATCAACTACCCTTTTACACTCTCTCTTTTTCACGGGTTCAAGAGACAACTCTTACAAGTCTCTCTTTTTATACCTCACTTCTCTTTTTAGAAGAACTTTCTAAATACTAGGAAGAACAGACTCTAATTCCTAAGAGAGTTTTCAATTTTTCTTTTCTCCTTTTTCAACTCAATTTCATGCCTTATTCTTGCTACTCCATGTAGGAATAGCTGGGGTATTTATAGACCCCAAATGGCTTCAAAATTGGAGCAAAAAAAGGTCTCATCCCGGGTTTCTCAAGTACCATTGTCCTTGTGGTATCATCGCCTATGTTGGTCGGTACCACCGCTTATAGCACTGACACTGGGTGGTACCACTGCTAAGGAAATATTGGATGGTTGATGATACCTCATTGTCAGAAAGTGATTTCATCGTCATAGTAGTGTACCTGGTCCTTAGACTTGAGACATCAAAGATGTCTTGCATAATTACTCCACTCTTTGATATCATACTTATAGGTTTGTAAGTTTCACATCTAACACAGTCGGTAATCGAGAGTGGTAGTCAATCTTATGAGAGTTAATAAGTGTCGATAGAGGATCATTCGCTATCGGTATCATGAGAAGAATATCCTATATGTTCTTGCTTAGATAAATCATTAGCCAAGGTTGTTAGGATTAAGAGATAAAGAGTTCTCCGAGAGAATCTGATTAGAGCAAGACTCGATGAGAAATCGTATGGTCTGACAATAATCTAAAAGGCTTTAATAATTAGATGAAAATCCAATACTCAATCTAGTATGATCTATTATAATTAAGTTGATAAGGGACCTATATAAATAGGAGAGAACAAAGGCTTATAGGCCAAAGCTTTTTGATTGACATCTCCTATTCTCCTCCCGCCTCTTTTCCTTAATCAGAACCTCGATTTGGGACGTATATATAGCAAGAAGGGTCAGCCCCTTCTTGAGTGTGTGGTGTGCGTAGTGAGGAGATTTGAGCAACAATTTGAGGAGCGTCGTCACAACCCCTACCGTGTGGATCACCACTAGTGAGGACGACATTTGAACTTCTTTATTCAATCCCACATATCTGTAGGAATTTAGGGAGATATGATCTCCCTAGGTAATTCTCTTATACGTAATTTTTTAGTTTCGCAGGTTTTTCCACTCCAACTTTTACATGAAGTTAAGAAACACATTTGCTATAGGAAATATGTGTTTTTGTTTATGTTCTTCTACTATGCATATGATGTCACCTCAGATTTTCCAACAGATAGGTATTACGATGAGTAGAGGTTCGGATATGAGATATCCATTAGAGCCCCTATCTTATTGGATATCCAATAAGCTCTTGAAATATTAGATCTTGTGGATAAGATCCAATAAGAGCTAATGAGAGATTATTGGATAGAGAAATACTAATCTAAGAGACTTAGGTAGTTAGATGGATTTTCAGTACCCAATAGGGCAAGGTCCATTAAAGTTAAGTTGACAAGGGGCCTCTATAAATAGGAGGGAATACAAGGGCCATAGGCTAGACCCTTTTTTAACTGCCACCTCCTATACTCCTCTCTCCCTTTCCTTCTCAGCCAATAGCCCCAATTAGGTACGTGTTGACAGTAAGATGGGCCGCCCCCTTCTTGATCATATGGTGCTCGTGGAAAGGAGGATTGTGCAACGATTTAAAGAGCATATTCATAGTGGCTCCCATATAGATCATCGTTAGAGAGGAGAATACTTGATCTCTTCTATAGCCAAATACATGCATCATTTGATGAACTGAATAAATACAGTCAGTATTGACTAGGTAGACTTGATATTTTTCCAACTTGTGTGTTTTTTGTTTTCTTTCATTTACATTCTGTTTCGGTGTTTCAGGCAAGGCTATTTCTTAATGATAGGAGGAAGTTCCACTAGTTGGTCGATCCATCACTGAGAAGGCCATTCTATTTCGGTGTTTTAGGCAAGGCCGCTATCCACCACGGGCTTTTCACCAGTTGGTCATCATTGCCTCAATGTGTCTTCAAGAACAGCCCACGATCGTCCCATCACCGTCAATAAAAGAGACTAATGTCGCGATAAATGACATTGTAAGTTTCTCTCTCTCTTTTTTTTTTTTTCCCTGTGGGATGTAAAGAACGAAAATAGCAATCACTGTCTAATACTTGTACATTCATCACAGAAGCACATCATCCTCCAGAGCAAGACAAAGCTGGCTGTGTATAAAGACAGTTCACGTGAGTGTCTACAGCATATGTCAGCATTAATATTGTCAATTTATTATCATGACCTGATTGACAGATTAAATATTTGTTCGACATGCTCATCTGTTCTACAGCATTTAGCACATGTGAAGATGAAATTTCATTAGGTACGTACGTCTAATTCTAAGAGCAAGTCAAAATGCACGTTCGGCAGTAGCAATGCAAGTTTTTTTTTGGAAAAAAAAGAGAAGAAAAAGCATGTTCGGCTTACGACTCGGTCAAAGATTTAGTATGTCTTATCTTGACCTGATTGTTGACAGATTAAATATTTGTTCTACATGCTCATCTATCCTACAGCATTTAGCATATGTGAAGATGAAATTTCATTAGGTACGCCCGTCTAATTCTAAGAGCAAGTCAAAATGCAATTTATTTTTTGGAAAAAAAAAAAGCATGTTCGGTCAAAGAATTAGTATGCCTTACGCATTCAAAAAGCCTCGTTGGTAAGTTAACCAAAAGCAATCGATTGATGTTACAGGTGGCATGCCTCTTTGACAAAAGATTGAACGTGTACTTGAAGGAAGCTTATCCCGCTCATCACTCTCGTGGGTACGTATTTCTGATGTTGGCATAAGGTGCCTGATTTAGGGCTGTGGATTTCACATCACATGCGTTGAGAAACGAAATTGTTTCTGTGCCACTTGTTGTTTTACGTTGTTCTTCCTTGGTGTACTACTTGGCTGCCCAGGAAGAAATGGAGAGGCATGAACATGATTTGGACGAAGGGAATGAGATCGCGGTTGATGCTTGCTGCTGTATCATATTCAGGTATTTGCCAAAGAAAAAAGAGAGGCCCATACTTCCAGTATATAAAATTCACACCCAGTACAAAACAAAATACATCCATATATATATATATATATATATATATATATATATATATATATATATATATATATATATATATATATATATATATATATATAT